AGCTTTATTGTTCAAGGATATGGAGACACAAAAAAGATCAAATTGACCAGTGAGCTCATCAGCAACCTGCATGAGGAGAAATATGGAGGTCAAAGAATGCTAAAACTGAATGGTTCTCTCCTCTGCCCACTCCACATGGCTGCTGAATTTGTAAGGATGCAAGCAGAGCAATTCGGATGGCAGTTACTTGTGTGCAATTGACAAAGTCTTCTTTTAAACTGTTCATCCTAGACACCACCCAGAATATTGTCTCTACTTTAATTAAGATGTGGACCAAATTCAAATGCATGTGTACATTAGGGGTTACAAATAGTGAGAGAGAGAAAAAAAAGTGTTCTTTCCTACATTTGTTTATACTAAATTAATGACATTATATTTAATACGTTTAAGTTAATATTGTATTTTCAATAGGAGTATAAGATAACAAAATATGCTATTTTTATTAATATAATACAAATTTACTATACAGCATTTGTTATTATGTTATTTGTCCCTTAAGATAAGCCGCATCATGGTGTAGTTTAACAAATGAAAACACAGGAAATCTATGTGTGGCCCAAGGGGACTTGTAGGGAAGACCACAAGAAGTCAACCAAACAATTTGATTTTCTTTCTGTTATAAGAGATTTTGAGGGAAATAAGTTGACTACGCCACTTAGGGCCTATAACCCCAGGAACTCAAAAGCATGACATTTTCTCTAAAGGTCACACAGGTTTGTTATCGGACAAAGGAATGGTCAGGGACATGAGTTCCCCCAAAAAACACTTTTATTCAATCAATAAATTACTAGAAAACTCTAATAAAACACTTGTTCCCTCATTAAAGCATCCTATTTGACACACTTATACCACTGCACACACACACACACAAATTACAAATAATAAGACATAAAAATAAAAAAAATTAATACAAATTCAATGCAGAGCTGAGGGGCATCTACTCCAGGCAACCCTGACAAAAATGGTCAAAACACCAAAAGACTGAACCCCACACTTTCAAGACAAATTAACACTTTTCCTAATAGAAAAAAACACCAATCAGAAAAAGCAAAAAACACACAAAATCCAGCACAAATAATTCCAAAGAAAAACAAATACACTAGTACAAAATGAACAAAAACAAAATACAAAACAAACAGTTTGTCCAAAATTAAACAAACAAACCAATTCGAGATGGAAATGAGACAGCATTCGTTTCAGGATTATTAAAAACAAAAACACATTGATGATGAAACAATGGAATGGGAAAAAATGTTCAGAATTAGTGGAATAAGTCAAACACATTGATTGTAGAAGCAACAGGACGAAGCGGTTATTCAAGATTGTCAGAACGAGCCAAACACATTAATGATAAAATCAGCAGGGCGAAACAACAGCGCTGCCCAGACCACAGTGGCTACATTAGATTCGCAATATAAACGACTGCATGTTCATTTGACTGCAATTAAATGTAAATGAAAAATGTCTTACCTCACAACATGACAAAAAGGGAGCTACCCATACTAGGGCTGCAACAAACAATTATTTTGATAATCGATGAATCTAGCGATTATTAAAACGATTAATCAACTAATTGTCGATTATTTCACTGATTAATCAGTAGACTTTGGTTATTCAGCTTTTGCAATTAGTTAAAATATTGAACTATACATATTCTAACAAATACATAAATGTAATCACTTCAGTTTTTGAAAATCATATTATGTAATTACAATTATTATACATTTAATTAATTATATATATATATATATATATATATATATAGCACACAAAATGAGATGACAGACCATTTAGATCACCATTTAATTAGCTATGTGAAAAAGTAACTGAATGACGTCATTCTGCCTGACATCTCCTTTTGTAAGCCATATGGATAAAAAAAGCTATTGATTGCCTTAATATTTTATCATCTGTAACTGGTTTATGTTTGAATATTAAAATGTGTGTTATTCCCTTTAAAAATATGTAATTATAATAACATACTAGGTATTCCAGTAAAGGAGATGGTAGATTATTTATTAAGATCTGTAAAGATCAAAAGGAGAGAAATAATTTGAATTGTACACCAATTATTAAGAACATTAAACAAAAATGAAATTCATGGTTAATGAGAGACCTGGCATTAAAAGGAAGGATATTATTATCTAAAACTGAAGAGTTGTCACGTTTAGTGTATACGGCTCTTGCATTAGACGTTCCACATTCAGTCATAAAAGAGGTGGATACTTTTTTGTTCAATTTCATATGGAAGAACAGACCACATTATTTAAAAAAGACCGTTTTGTGCAGTCCAATTGAAGATGGTGGTCTTAATGTACTTGACTTTAGTACTGCTAACTCTGTATTTAAAAACAAATGGATTAAGAACTACCTGAAATCTAAAGGCAAAATTTGGAATATTATCCCTGAGTTAATTTTTGACAAGTTGGGGGTTTAGATTTTTTTTTTTTTTTTGAGGTGTAATTTTGATGTTAACAAGGTTCTGAAGCATTCTTTTTTTCATAAACAGGTTTGTTTATTATGGATGCTCATTTTTAAGCATAACTTTTCTCCACATAACTCATAAATATATTGGAACAACAAATATATTACGTTTAAAAATAAGTCCTTATTTTACAGAAACTGGTACAATAATGGTATAATCTTGGTGAGAAAGCTATTCAAGAATAATGGACTTCTCTTTAATTACTGTGAATTGCTTAATTATTATAGGATCCCTAATTGCTAAAGAGTTTGCCGTAGTATTTAATGCCATTCCTAGTGGCCTTATTCAGCTTTTGTCTGACAATATATCTTTTGAGTCTACACCCTTATATACTAATCAGTTAAGACACAAAGACCATGTTGCCATATGGCCACACCATGCGGTAGAGGGTTAATTGTGTGAAAATTATAGATAATAAATGTAATAACTTTTATATTTTAAACAAATATGTAGAATCACACTATTGCCTAAATGCAAATCTTTTTGGAATTCGTCATCTGATCAGATTGAATGGAAATAGGTCTGGAATTTACCAAGTCAATACTGTTTTTAGAGACATGGATACTACATGCATCTTTTGAAACTAGAGGAAGAATCCATAAAACACTTATTTTATGATTGTGTATTTACCCAAATGTTTTGGATTGATATTGAATATGTTATATTTAAATTTATAAAATTAAAGATTCGATTCTCTGTTAAAGTTATCACTTTAATTAAGTAGCTTAATATTTTCCCCTACTAATAAAAATATTTTATCATTAGCTAGCTCCACACTGGAGAGCTGCTTTATAACAGAAAATCAAGTTGTAATTCTAACTGAAAGCGACACTGACACTAGTTTTTCATGTTGACTAATCGTTTCAGCCCATAGACTGTAAAAAATATGGACGACGCGTCTCCACTTCCTTCCACTATAGAAAAAGTAAGTGAAGCCAAAACATTCTCAGTATGGCCGCTGTCATCTTGAGAAAATTACGTCATATGGAGCCCGAGTCTGCGCAGTAGTAACCGTGAGGTGGAGCTGCGGTATCAAAGGGTTAAAGAAAAAGCTGAGCATGTCATATCACACTGTATATCAGGGGTGCCCAATCCTGCTCCTGGAGATCTACCATCCTGCAAAGTTCAGCTCCAGCCCTGATCAATTTAATAATCAATTTACAATGCATTTATACCCGTGTTGTACATTATGCTGTACGCTATGGATGAGCGCTTTGTAAAAATGAACGGATTGATTATTCAGCTGCGGGCGCCATCTTCTGGTGAGATGTGGGAATTCTTTCGGCACGTGACTCTCACGGTGCATTATGGGCATTCTCTAGCCGTTGAGCGTGCACCAGTTGTACACTCGTTTTTGCAGTGCATTGTGGGATTGAATGAGTGCACTCGAGAACGTCCACTATGGTTTCGGACACCACTAAAAATGGCTGTTCCCTCAAATAGTGCCCTATTTAAGGGTATAGGGGGCAATTTCGGACACAGTCATAGAACCAGCTAATTAATCTCTTCAGGAGCACTTGGTAATTACAGACAGCTGTGTTGGAACAGAGCTAAAACTGAAGTCTGCAGGTAGGTAGATCTCATAGATCTCCAGGAACAGGATTGGGCACCCCTGCTGTATGGTGGAAAGACGGGTGTTTCAAGAAAAGGTTCAGGAGGCAGGACGGGAGTGGAATTTGATGGGGATACTGGGAACAGAAGAAGAGGGAGAGGGGACTAGCATAACCAGGGCACTAGTTAAATTCCTTAATGACAAAGGGTATATGCAGAATATGAGAACACTTAAAGGGGCCATATGATGCGATTTCAATTTTTCCTTTCTCTTTGGAGTGTTACAAGCTCTTGGTGCATAAAGAAGATCTGTAAAGTTGCAAACACTAAAGTCTCAAATCCAAAGAGATATTCTTTATAAAAGTTAAGAGTCAACCACGCCTACCTAAAACGGCTCGTTCTAACACACCCCC